ACAGAGGACCCTAGGACCATCAAGAGAGGAATGCACAAGCAGAAAGCAGGACCTTATCCAGAGAAGCAGCAGCGCCAGAGATGGAGGCAGAGATGGGGGCATGGAGACGGGGAGTAGCTGAGGACTCTAGATTCATGGATTAAGAAGAGAGGGACTAAGAGCTGGTGGCCCAGAGCAGACTTATAGAATGTGCCTTTGGAGATGTAAATTATTATATATGCCTGAGTAGTTTTTTTTCTGTTTGTTTTTTTTAAAAAAAAAGCTAAAGAGGATAGAGAGAAATACTGTTAACTGATGTTACATGGAGGGGATTATAATCATTGTAATGAAACAAGGTATATGATTTGTTGAATGTAAATCTGATGATATGCCCTGTAAACTTTCACTCAATCCATAATAAAAACCTTAAAAAAAAAAATCTTTACGGGAGCAGAAAGCCTCGTCTTTCGCCCGCGAAACAGCTGGTAGTTTCAAACTGCTGACCTTGCAGTTCATAGCCCAATTCGTAACCACTACGCTACCAGAGCTCCATATATATATAAAATTATAACTTAAAACCATATAACTAGAGGCATTAAAGCCATATTTTAAAAAAATGAGAACAGGGCATACAGACAAGGTAACAACTTCACTTCATGAATTTTAAAGAATATTAAATACAAAGTAAATTTAAAAAACTTTCTAAAAACAAGCCTTTATCCACATATTAATGAGAAGACAATGGTATAATATTGTTCAGAAAACAGGAAAGGATATCCAGTACAAATTTTATCATTTCACTTTCTCACCATCTACTTTTTCATTCCTTCCTTTATAAAACTATTTGTTTATTATGAGATGCAAAAAATATGGTTCTGACAGAACTTCAAGTGGCTGGGAGAGACAAAGTAATCCCAACAATTAACAATGGCACCCAGGAGAGATTTAGCATACCCTACTTATCCTGGTGTGGCTAATGCGTCAGACTGCAAAGTCATTTGAACTGCAAGGTCGGTGGTTCAAGCTCACCAGCTGCTTTTTGGAAACACTATACAGGGTCACTATGGGTCTCAATCAACTCAACAGCACTTAACAACAACAACTTATTTACCTAGGAGTCCTGGTGTGGCGCTGTGGGTTAATGCATGCAACTGCAAAGTTGGGTGAACCACAAGGTCTGCAGTTCAGACTCACTAGCTGCTTCTAGGAAACTCTATACAGGATCGTTATGGGTTGAAACAGACCCATCAACACTTAACATCAACAACTTATTTGTCTGGATGCAAAAAGCAGTCAACCGCAAGTTCAGTTTTCAACCTCAAGGCCAGCAGTTCAAACTCACCAACCGCTCCTTGGGAACCCTATACAAGGTCACTGTGAGTCAGAACTAACTGCATGACACTTAACTTAGTTACTTGGACTCCAGGTGTGACACTAAAAGATAAACACTGAACTGCAAACCCCAAAGTTGGTGGTTCAAACTCACCAGTTGCTCTTTGGAAACCCTATGAAGGATCACTATGAGTCAGAACCGAGTCAACAGCACTTAACAACAACAACAACTTATTTACCTAGAAGAAAAGGAGGATTTAAAGGGTGTGAGTCAAAACTCAAAATATAATATTAATCTAGATAGCCAGAACGCAATACAGTAACATTGCATCTAGAAGTAGCAATGAGGGATAAACAGAACATGAGAAAAGGAATTTTCTTAGCTGGTTTTATATTTTCATGCCTGCTATCACTAATAAAATAAACATTACATTGGTGCTCAGCATACTTTTCAATTTGGTACTATCTTCGAACTGAACTCCCCAACTCAGACAGCCTAACCATATAAAAATTAAAATCCACTCAGGCAAGCATTTTTCACAATTCACCCTCTTCCTAAATAAAAATTGCCCCCCCCACCACCCGTTTTCCAACCTATCTTTTCCTTGATCAAAATTCTCATTTTCTCATCATAAATAGTTCTTAGTAGAAAAACAAACTGATTCATGTAAATTGCATTCATAACTTAACCTTTGCAAAGGATATAAGTATTTTCAAATGGAAACTATTGACGTACTGGAATATGAATGGGAAATTTATAAAAGATATAATGGAGCAGAGGTGGTGACTCAGATTCTTGTCTACTTGTGGTTGAGATATCATTTAGCTAATCATTCAATAAAGATTTTCTGAATAACTAGAAGTACAGCTTTTACTCACATGTGATATTAAGGATACCGTCTGATGATTGCTGTATTCTATTGGGTCACCTCCCTTTGGAATGGGCACAGATAAGGATCTCTTCCAATTAGTTAGCCAGGTATTTGTCTTCCAAATTTCTCGGAATACATAAGTGAGCACCTCTAGCACTGCATGAGTTTGTTGTAAGATTCCAATTTGTATTCCATCAATTCCCGGTGCCTTGTCCTTTGCCAATGCCTTCAGTGCACCTTAGACTTCTTCCTTCAGTATCATTGGTTCCTGATCATATTTTACCTCTTGAAATGATTGAACATCGACCATTTCTTTTTGGTAGAGTAACTCTGCATATGCCTTCCATCTGCTTTTGACGCTTTCTGCATCATTCAATATTTTGTCCATAGAATGCTTCAATATTGTAAGTCGAGGCTTGAATTTTATCTTCAGCTCTTTCAAGCTGAGAAATGCTGAGCATGGTTTTGTTTTTGTTTTTCTAACTCCAGATCTTTGCATATTTCATTATAATGTTTGACTCTGTCTTCTAGAGCTGACCTTTGAAATTTTCTATTTAGCTCTTTTACCTCCTCATTTTGTCCATTTGCTTTAGCATCCCCATGCTGGACAGTAAGTTTCAGAGTCTCTTCTGACATCCATTTTGGTCTTTTCCTTCCTTCTTGTCTTTTTAATGATCTTGTAATCTCTTCCTGTAAGATGTTCTTGATATCATCCCACAACTCTTCTGGTCTTTGGTCTTTAGTGTCTAATGCATTAATTCTGTTCTTCAGATGATCTCTAGATTCAGGTGGTATATGTTCAAGATCATATTTTGGCTCTCATGGACTTCTTTTAGTTTTCTTTAGCTTCAGCCTGAACTTGCATATAACAATTGTTGGTCTGTTCCACAGTCTGCTCCTGGTCTTGTTTTGACTGATGATATGGAGCTTTTCAACATCTCTTTCCACAGATGTAGTTCATTTGATTTCTGTGTATGCTATCTGGTGCATATGGCAAATCTGAGTCACAAGACCTCCTTTAAGTGTATAAGAGCAAAGGTGTCATGGACCACCTAAAGAACAAACAAATCTGTGTTTTAAAAAGTACAGCCAGAGAGCTCCTTAGAAGCTAGGATGGCCACTTTGTCTCTCAAAGTTCACACATATTATCAGGAGGGACCAGTCCCAGGAGAAGGACATCATGCTTGGCAAAGTGGAGGGTCAATGACAAAGAGGAAGATACTCCTCTCCCCGCTCCCCCACCCCACTCCATGAGATGGATTGGCACAATGGGAACAGCAATGGACTCAACATAGCAAAGATTGTGAGGCTGATGCAGGACCAGGCAGTGTTTCGTTCTGTTGTGCATAAGGTCACTATGAGCCAACTCGACGGCTCTTAACAACAACAGAAGTACAGCTAAAAACTTGGTATCCTACTTCTGAAACCTTACTACTATACGTTGTAGAAATTAAAAGGAAGAGGTGAAATGATGCCTAGATATAAATAGAAGCTATCAGACTTAAGGCAAAGATGATAAATACTTGGTTTACAGACTGTCCAATAACCCTCACAACATCATTCCCTAGTTCCAGACAACTTTATACCTGCCTTGATATCACTAAACACTTTTTCCTGCTAAAGTCAAGTCTGATTTTTCAACACAAGGTTTCAGGTAAGTTGGTGTTTAAGATACAAACTATGAACCATCTCCAAGTTACAAGAGTAGTCTAGCATCTGGGCATATTCCACTCACTCACTCTGGAAGAGTAACTGCAGTAGTAGTTCCATTACGTGTTACGTAACATGCCATAAACACTTTACAGATACTTCATTTAATGCTTACAACAACACTATAAGCTAAGTACTACCTCTGTCTTACAGATTGGGAAACTGGGAGGCTATTCCTAGTCTCCTTTCTGCTTACCTAAACCTTCTCCTTCCATGGCATCCTCTGAACCAGTTCTGTATAAGCACTCCCTCTTCTAAATTCTTCCAACATCTAACAATTATCAAATGTTATCCTATATGATTGGTTATCTTTTTATGTCTCTATCCTGCATCCCCAACTGAATACTATAATCCCTTTGTTTAGCATGGTGGTGGTGGTTATGTGCAGTGGAGTCGGTTCTGACTCATAGCGACCCTGTACAGGGTTTCTGAGGCTGTAAATCTTTGTGGAAGCAGAAAGCCTCATCTTTCTCTGGTGGAACAGCTGGTAGTTTCGAACTGCTGACCGTGAGAATAGCAGCCCAATTCGTAACCACTATACTACCAGAGTATAGCAGGAGCTTAAAACCATGTTTATATTATAGGCAAAACAATTTAGTAATTAGCAGTTAAGTCAGTCAAAAGCAAGTAAGTAATTAAAGAACTTATATATCCTAAAGTGTTGAAAAGCAAAGATGCCAGTTTGAGAACTAAGGTGCACTTGACACAAGCTATGGTATTTTCAATAACCTCATATGCATGTGAAAGTTGAATGGTGAATAGGAAGACTATAGAAAAATTGAAGCATTTGAGTTATGGTGTTGGAGGACAATATTAAAAGTACCGTGGACTGTCAAAAGAACAAACTGTGTTGGCAGAAGTATAGTCAGGGTACTCCTTAGAAGCCAGGATGAACAAATTTTGTCTCTCATACTTCAGGCATATTATCAGGAGGGACCAGTCATTGGAGAAGGATATCATATTTGGTAAAGTGGAGGGTAGGAGGAAAACAGGAAGACCTCCCCAATGAGATAGACTGGCACAATGGTGGCAATGATGGGCTCAGGCATAGCAACGATTGTGTGGTTGGTACAAGATTGGACAGAGTTTCATTCTGTTGTGAATAGGGTCACTATGAGTCAGTACTGACTCAATGGCATCTACCAACAACAACATACATCCTATACATGGTCACCCAGGTATTTTAATACAGCAAAATGTAATTTACTGTAAGAAATTACCCATTTATTAGCTGTGACTTTGCATAAGATATATATCTAAGTTTCCTATGGAGTAGTTGAACATCAGAGAATAAAAATAATCTGTCCCAGGTTAAATCGCTAGCAATTGAAACAGTAAGGATTTGAGTTCAGATCTAGTTCATAGGCCCATATTATTTCCACACAAATATGCAGAAAAGCAGGAAGTTTCAGTTCATTTCCATAGATATTAATTCAAGTGATACCATAGAGTAGAAAGGTTACCTAAGAAAAAAGCCATTTTCATTTTATTGATATAGGAGGCTCAATCAAGTTCCCAGATACGTAAGAGCTCTGATTCACTAACTTTGGGGTTTTTTAAAGTTTTGATTGTGAATTGCGTTATAGTTTACATGGGAGAACATCGGTTTTACACCATCATTTCATTGCAGTAATTACAATCTTCTCCATGCATCATCATTCAATAGTATTTGCTTCTATTCCCTCTATTTCTGTTTTTTTGGGTTTTTCTTTTTTTGAGGGGGGGGTGTGGTTACACACAAAAAAACAGGAATATATACTAACTTTTTTTTAGTTTTTATTGTGAATTGAGTGAAAGTTTACAGGGCAAATCATCAGTTTTATATTCAATAAATCTTATACTTTGTTTCATTAAAATTATAACCCCCTCCATGTACCATCTGTTAACAGTATTTCTCTCTATTCACTTTAGCTCCTTTTTTACACTCAGGCATATGTAATAATTTACACCACTAAAGGGCACATTCTGCAAGTCTGCCTCCTGGCCACCAGTTCTCAGTCCCTCTCTTTCCATGGATCTACAGTCCTCAGCTGCTCCCTCTCTCCATGTCCCCATCTCTGCCTCCATCTCTGGTATCCCTGCTTCTCTGGATAAGGTCCCGCATTCTGCTAGTGTTCTTCTCCCTTGATGGTCCTAGGGTTCTTTGTTTCTGGACTGTAAGATTAACTACTCCCACATTTTTGTTATAAATCTCCTACCTTTACAATTGTGACAATCACAATTAGTCATGATAACAATTACTCACTACTGAATCATAAGAATTACATCCCCATCTCTTCTTACCAGACCCATCTAGACAAGAAGAAAACTATTCATTGGGAACTCTATCTTCCCCCACACACTCATAAACTAAACTCCCTCCTGAAACCTTGTAAGCCAGTCACTTCATGCCTTTTTTACCCCCTCATTTTAGGTAGCCCATGTCTAAGTTACCCATCCCTATCTACCTTATATACAAAGGGGATAGCACTGATACTTGATGTGAAGACTCCTTCCCTCTCTGTTGGTATTTAGAGTTACTTCCTCCATGAGTCCTGGTGTGGCGCTGTAGGTTAATGCGCCAGTCTGAAAAAACATTTGAACTGCAAGGTCGGTGGTTCAAGCTCACCAGCTGCTCCTCGGAAATCCTATACAGGGTCGCTATGGGTCAGAACCGACTTGATGGCACTTAACAACAACAACCTCCATGAGTAAGGAGTTCTGGTAGCATAGTGGTTATGAAACAGGCTGTGAACTGCAAGGTCAGCAGTTCGAAACTACCAGCTGTTCCACAGGATAAAGATGAGGCATTCTACTCCCGTAAAGATTTATAGCCTCAGAAACCCTGTACAGGGTCACTATGAGTTGGAACCAACTCCATGGCTCATAACCACCACCATGAGTATAGGTCAAGCTCATCAAATTGTACCAATTTACCCTTATTTTCTTTACAAAAATTGTTGGGGTTTTTTTCTTCCTCTAATTGAGTTCTGACCATCAAGCCATCAGGCTAGGTCAAATGGGTACTGTCTTCAAGTTTGGGTGTTCTTGGCATGTCCCCTCACTTCTTACCAGCTGAATGCTTCACTCTCAACTCTAGCACTCTGTGGCTATGTCCTTTTCCATGGGCTCAGGTGTGCCCAGGTCTCACCATACTTTGGACCAACCAACCCTTCCTCTTCTCCCTCTCATCTCCAGGTCAACAGGAGTCTATGGAACATGGCTGAACTTAGCCCATTTTATCACTGCTGCCTTTTCCCCTCTTTCACTCATCAGTAGACCAATGTGGTCGCCAAAAAGCTTACATGCCTGCTCATGTGTTCCCTGTGAGTTTCAGTCTCACTAACTTATTTTTGAGTTAATGTGAACCATCTTATAAGTCAATGAAAATGTCTTAGCTAGGGTAACTGGTGTGGAGTCTTGGTGTGGCACTGTGGGTTAATACACTGGACTGCAAGGTCAGTTTGAGCTATAAGGTCAGCAGTTCAAGCTCACCAGTCACTCCTTAGAAAGCCTTTTCAGAGTCACTATGAGTCAGGACCAACTCAATGGCACTTAAAGAAAAACAAAAAAACTAAAACAGGGTAACCTGCTATAAAACTGTAGTTGACATTTTTTTTATTTTGCTTTGACATATCTTTTAACTAGATTTCTATAATTCCCAATCTTCTATTTATATGGTGACATTTTCAAACTTCTTATCAAATTTATCTAACATATAAGACCAACTTTCTTCTACTATTCCACCTGGCTTCTAAAAATCTCAAGTTCATTTTTAAATAGTGACTGTGAGCTATAAGAACAAGAGATTCAGGAGCTGGCATCTGACAGTTACTAGCAATACAAAGCCACAGGCAGTGACAAAAGAACTTTTAGTAGCAAATTATCAAAACAGGAGAAACACACTTGGATAAGAGACTTTTTAGCCATATGACAAGTCCTTAACATAAAGTTGCATTTCTATAACAATATTTAGTCAACACGACTAATATGCCTGTTAATGTGTATGCTGTGAAACAACAAAAAAAAAATGTCTAAACATAGAAAAGAAATGTAAGACAAAATTATGACTGCTAGCATAAAAAGACTAATTAAGAACACAGACTACAAGAGAAAATAAATAAATATACAGTCAAAGACAGTGGCTTCAGTATAGCCTTTCAATGTAGTTAAATGGATTACCTAAACCCCATTTATGCTGTTATTCACCTATATTGTTGCTGTTAAGAGAAACAGAATTGATTCCAACTCATGGCCAGAGTTTCCAAGGAACGGTTGATAGGTTTGAACTGCCAATCTTCCGTTTATCAGTTCAGTGCTTTTCCTACAGCCACCACACCAGGATTCCAAGCTTACATGAATGGTCCATATATCAGAGTTTATATATTAGCAATCAGGGGAAAGAACTAATAGGAAGCAAAGAGTCACTGATATTTCTAAGCCCACAGTAAACTGCAGACTGTCCAGAGGCAAAATGGCACTTTGTTGTGCTTGTTTTATGAATCCGGTTATAAGGATACTATTAAAGAATTTCTAGAATAGCAATTACTTCAAAGATGCCATTTAAGCTTATAGGCAGTTATTAACTTATATAAAAGTTATACACCTAAAAAAGACTACACATAAATCTCATTTCTATTAATTGAGTTTTACTTTAAAGGACCAATGCATACTACCATTAAGAGACTTTTTCCATTCACTCACTCATCCCACTTATTTTGGGATACCAAAGCATAATGTTTTCCACTGAATAGCCAACAGCAAAGAGAAACAGAAACAGTCTCTTTCCTCATTAACAAAGTCTATGTGAGAGACAGATACTAACTATATAATCACAAGTAAATGTAAAGTTACAACCAAAACAAATACTGCAAAGGAGAGAGCACAGGACTTAACCTAGTCATAGGGATACAGATACAAAGGAAAACTTCTTTATAATTCAAAGAAACATAAAACAAACTTCATAGTTTCATAAATGTTTGTTTCTATATATAGGTGTCTTTAAAATCAGGGTACAGATATGAGAAATACTGAAGAAAACAATAATCATTTATCTAAAAAGAAGAAAATTTGAAATATGTATTTAAATATGCACGTTGTTGGGTTTTTGTTCTTTTTTGTGTGAGGAGAAGGGTGCTGTGCCAAGGAAAAACTCACTAGTTAGAACAAAACCATAATCTGGGTGTTGATTCTTTTTTTTTTTTTTAATATTTTATTGTGAATTATGTGTTTACATGGGAAAACATTAGCTTTACATTCATCCTATGGCTCGTATTTCTTGTGGGTAAAT